TTGCGGAAGCATTTATTTTTTTAATTGAAGTTGCATTTAAATGCTTGTTTCTTAGCGACTCTAGTTGGTGTCAAGCTGACATACAACTAGCTAGCACATCCATTATTTTGAAATAGTCTGATCACTGCATGATCCGAGCTAATAGGAAAATCCTATACAAGCATATCTGGCAAAATCTGAATTTCTGGTTTAAAAAACAATAATTATTTAGTATAAGCATGTCATATATGCGATGAAACATTTCACTAGGAATCCTGACGTGGTCGTTATCTTTGGTTTTATTAGCCCAGTTTGAATTTGCCAACCCTCCTAGAAACAGACTGTTGTAGTACAGGTTTTACAAGGACTCCTAATCAGATTTGGACTGCTTGAGGCATTTTGCTGTGGGCGCCCTCTTCTGGCCTCCATGGGTACTGCACTCATCCGCTCTCCCCTGCACACCTTAACAGACCCATTATTAAAACAACAAAAACAAACCCCGAAAACTAAAAGTTAAAAAGAAAACCAGGAGCCAGGCGGTGGTGGCTCACGCCTTTAATCCCAGTATTTGGGAGGCAGAGGCAGGTGGAGTTCTCTGTGAGTTCGAGGCTAGCCTGGTCTACAGAGGGAGTTCCAGGTCAGCCAGGGCTACGCAGGGAAACCCTGTCTTGAAAAACAAAAACAAACAAACAAACAAACAAACAAAAAACTAAAAAAAGGAAAGGAAGGAAGGAAGGAAAGCAAGCAAGCCAGGAACAGCACACTGCTTTCCGCGAGCCTTTCTTTCCTGCAGCATTAGCTCCACCCACACCCGGGAGCACAGCTAGTACTCGGTCCTCTTTTCTGCCTACTTTCCCCGTGACAGTTTTCTGTGTCTGTGTCTCATTAACCCAGCCCTCTTTCCCGCTCAGAGCTCCCTCTGCAAACCAGAGGAACAAGGCAAGGTATGGCACTTCCACTTCGGCCTTGTTTTCCTTCATTTCCTTGGAATGAGGCTCTGACCCAGGGCCCACACAGGTGGCAGGGCAGGGCATTTTGTGGTTTGCGTGTTGCTAGGGACCCGGTTTACTAGAAACTAAACAGAATGTGGTATCCCCTCTACTCCCCACACGTCTGGAGAGAGACTGCAAATTGTGGGCCCTCTCCTCGCGCCGCCTCTAAGAAGGCTCGAGAGCTGGTTCACGGGGCTGTGCGCAGATCAGGAAGGCAGAGAGAGCATGCCTTCTTTCCGGCTTGTGTGACGGCAGTCATGTTGGTCTCCTGAAGCTAGAGCTTGGTAGATTTGGGGATGTAGTCAACAGAAGGGCTCGAAAGCAGTATCAGCAAATGGGCACAGAAGTAAACACGCAGTAGATGCACTTGAAACTATAGCCATGCTTGGCTTTGGTAGTTAAAATGTTATTTCAGAAAGAATTGTTTCTGACTCCCGACAAGTTTCTATTGTGCACCTACTGTGTGAATGCCCTTTACCACTGTTGAGCCTGTGGTACTAGCCTGACTGGACGGTTCACCAGGTTATGTGGGTTGTTGGTTGCATGAGTTAGTTTTCCTATTGTGATAGAATGCATGCGCGGGGCAGAGAAAGTGTTTCCCTGGCTTGCAGTCTGAGGACACAGTCCTTTGCGATGGAGAAGTCCTGGCGGCAGGAGCTGGGGGCTTCCATCTACAGTCAAGAAGTGAAGGGCAATGGATGCTGGTGCCCAGCCCACTCTCTCCTTTTCATTGGCCCAAGCCAGATGCTCCACAGCTCCCTTTCTCTGGCTCGAACCCTCCTCCTCACTCCTACCTGAGGATGGACAGTGGTTCACCCTTCCTCCTCACCACCACAGAGACTAACTCCACCTCTGGTAGAGTTGAACAGCGGCGGTGCAGGAGGCCCAGAAGGCGCCTTGATCAGAGATTAGGCCTCTGAGCTCCACTCCCCACGTTTCGGACTGCACCTGGATTTTCCATCTCTGCAAACACACACACTTGAGGCCGAGGTTCCATGGACAGTCCTCCAAGGAAGTTTGCTGACACCGGAACCTCTGGGATCAAGCGAATTCCCCGGATGCATCACACTGAGCTTGGTCCCACCAGGAGGTTGGACCTTCCCTGGGGTTACTCGCTGGTGGGGACCAGAGTACCCTGTTCTCACTTGGCTCTCCAACATCATTCCTCTCTTCTCCTGACACCTTGGTCAATGAGATCAAGACCGGACCTCAAGTGACAGGAGAAACCAGTTCAGTGACTTCCACTTGCTGTTTAGGGCATGGGATGGTGGGAAATAGAATCTCCCTCACCTTGTGAAATCTAGGAGGAGACCGAGAGAGAGAGAAATAGTGAAAATGAGAGGCAAATTAACATGCTACGGGCTACGATGCGATGTATAGGCTCTGTGGTGCGGCCAGGCATATGACAAGGTGACAGGCAGCTTGGGACCCTGGCTCTACCTTTTCCTCTCCATGGAACTTTGCCTAACTAACTTCCTGGTGAGTGAACAAAGGAGGTAGGAGTACTTTCTCACGTGGGGCTGTGAGAATCAAGTATTTTGTATCCAACAGTGAGTGCCCTGTGTGAGAGCCAGGCAAGCTCCCGGATGTTAGCTATTATCTCTATTCAGTCTACTTTCCACGAGGGGAACGCGGACCCTCCCTCCCTCTCTAGGCCTCCTTTCCAGTAGGTTACTACACAACCATTCAGACCTTTCAGACCTAGGGATCCATGACCTTCCTATAACCAAAGAGATGGGAAAAGAAGGGCTGAAGAGAGGCACACGTGCTCCGCGAAACTTGCTGACCAAAAGCGCGAGTTCTGACTTTTGCCCGCCTAAGAAGGCTGAAGGTCGGGTCCCGAGAAGGGATTCGACAATGCCCTTACCAGAGGGACTAATGACGGCATCTGTCCTTTGCTGACGGGGCTCTCCTTGTGAGAGGCAAGCAGCCTGCCTGAGCACTGGGGCAGAAATCCTCTCTTCATCCGGTGTCATCTCTGAACTTTTGAAGCCACTTGCAATGTAAATTAGCTCGTATCTGTCATTCTCTCTGGGTTTCTCTTCTGTCATTAGCCTCTCTGCAATTATTAATGACGGATATTTTGTGTGTTTGTTTATTCAAGGTCTGCTCTGCCGGTAGATTGCATAGGTCTTGGGGGCAAGGATTAAGGGTGTTTTATTGACCAAGCACAATGGCTTAGCTTTAACTTTTTAATCTGTTAAATGAGGACAGCAATGCCGCTTTTGTCCACCTCACTGAGCTGTGAAATTAAAAGAGATAATACATGGGAAGCGTCCTTGTACGTCGTGAAATGTGCTACACAGACTTATGCTTAGGGCTGTGTCAGTTTGAGGGGACGGCACAGGCTCAGGCTGTGGATGAGATAATCGCGCGAGAGATGAGATATAATCGGGGAAAGTCCTTGGAAGAGGTGACACCGTGACAGCTTTTACTGCGTGGAGCGGGAGCACAGCGTTTCCACCCCTAAAAATATCCAGTTCACGCAGCTGGGAGTGAAATAGTTAAACAGCAGTGAAGGCTGGAGAAGTCTCAGTGTGGGTAGCAGTGACTACCCCAGAGCAGATGGGGTTCTCCTAAGAGGGCGGAAGTGCGTACCCCAGAGCTGATGGGGTCTCCTAAGGTGAGCGGAAGTGAGTACCCAAGAGCTGATGGGGTCTCCTAAGGTGGGCGGAAGTGAGTACCCCAGAGCTGATGGGGTCTCCTAAGGTAGGCGGAAGTGAGTGCCTCAGAGTGGATGGGGTCCCTTAACCGTGTGAGGTTTTGCTAGCCAGTTGTTCTTTTCCCACGACAGCAAGGACGGACAGACAGTAGGACACCCTCCCTGTTCCACAGCTGTGAGAATGCGCAGTGAAGGAAGACATTTCCAGAGAACTGGCTGCGGCTGCAGGCTTTTCACGGAGAGCAAAGGTGGAGAGCGTGGATCCCTCTGCAAGTCCGGTCGCTGCAGATATATGGAGCCCCACATTTGAAATAGGGAGAGTGGGAGCGAGAGAGATGTGGCTGTTGAGCCAGCGAACAAGACATTATCAAATCAGATGGCCAGTTTGGGGCAAGGATCACTGTGCCTGGGGATCCAAATGCCAAATGATCACGACACCAGGGAAATAAAGAAAAAGGTCAGACTGGACCAAAAGCAGACACAGTTTCCCCTCACTGAGCCACTCTGGGCTTTTGTCTTAATTCTTAAGGAGCAGGACACCCCAGTGATAGTTAGTCTTGATCATCACCTTGAAGGGCTCTGGGATCAATTAAGAAATATATCCTTCCTTGGATCTGTAGGGGTGTTTTTTAGAAAGGATAAGCTGAGGTGGGAAGACCCGACCTCAATACAGGCAATACCATCGCATGGACTGGGCTCCTGGGCTGGATTTAAAGGAGAAGGCAAAATGAGCTCTGACGTTCATCTCTCCTTCCCAACTTTGAGTGCAACATGTGGTGTGCCGCAGCCCCATGCTCCTGCTGAGGCTTCCGTGCCGTGATGGACGGCACATGTAGGCCCTACCCTAACTCACCTCTGTCAGTATTTCCTCACAATGAAGAGAAAAGTAACCGATCTGAGGCCTTAGAGCTGCAACCGCATGGGAGTCATCTGGTGGTCCACAGCATGTAGCTGCAGGCTGTCTGCGCCTGTGCACAGGCTTCTTGCACTGAGGGCTCCTCCGTAACATCAGACTCCCGGGGGTCGCCATGGGAGGCCTTAGCCGTGTGCTATGTTTATGCTCATAGAGGAGCAATGCGTTCAGGATAAGAAAGACATCAGGATACCATAGGCTGGGTGACAGGCCAGAGGAAAGGGTTTCTGCCTGCTGGATCCTCAGGAAGGCAAGTCAGACAGAGAGAGAGCAAAGGGCAGGAAAGGCGCACAGAGGCGCTGGTGACCACACAGGAGGGGACGGGCTGGTGGCTACATGTGGGGAGGGATGGGTGAGGAGAAACAGTACAAATACAGAATAACTTCACTTTTTAGAGTTTTAAAGATTGTTTAAATTGATACGTAGAAACATACAATTGTACAAATTAACGTGTAATTTGTAGTGTTCCCTAAGTTTTTTAAAATCCTACTATTCTCTATGGCTGTCAGTGTTTGGTCCTCTGTTGGGAAAGATCTAGGGTTAACTTTTCTGTAACCTTCCATGGAACTGAGACCCCCCAAAAAGGGGCCTAGCTTAGGCAATGCACTGGGGGAGTCCATCCTCATGACCTAGGTTTACTGGTTACTGTCCTCCAGGGGGAAGATATGTACTGCCTAGAGGACAGGGAAGTGGGGGGCAGCTCAGAGACTGTGAGCTGGTGGCTGCCTACCACCTCAGGAAAAGCTGCTAGAATCCGCTGTTGGTAAAACATGAAACTAGGGTGGCACCTAAAGGGGGGGGGCAGACCAGCGCCCCCAGCAGAGAAATCAAAGACAGAGACCAAGGGCAGGGAGGGGACGGTGTCTAAGGCGGCTAATGCCAGGCACCTCCTGGAAGACAGGCTTAGACCTCAAGAGCAGAGCGCCAGCTTTTCCCCAGAGAGAAGCCTCCACTTGACCTTGCCCAGTCCCTGCAGGAAGGTGCTGCTGGCCTCTGGAGACACAAGCTGCGCAGACCAAAGGTGCTTCTAGAAGTCACATGAAGTAAGCAAGGCACTGGAATGGATGGATCTTCAGACGGAAAGTGCAGCCTGGCCCAGGAGGTGGAGACGTGGTTCCCTGCGGAGGACACAGGGGAGCTTTGTGCCCTAGGCGAGGACGGGCCAGCGCTCCTCCGACTCTCCATCCTCCCACGTCCCGGCCACGTCCCGGCAACATGCACAGGCGTCTCTTCTGCACTCTGCTCATTCCTGGACTGGCACAGGTAGGTCTTTGTTTTACACCTCGGCTTCAGCTGTACTCCTTCAGGCTCAAAGGAAAACGGCAAGACAGAGATGGGGAAAGATGCGGGTAATTATTTCGTGAGAATGGGGAGCCATTTTCCTTTCCAGAAAGTTCTGTCTTACAGTTCAGGAGCTTTGTGAGATGCTTGACATTTCTCCTTTTGAGGTGTGCCCTCTAGTTTGCTTGTGATGTGTGAACAGCCCACAGACATTACTTTATATCTGTTTACAGAATCCCGTCCCAGCTCCGGGACGGGCAGTGCTCGTGGCCACAGCCATAAACATGGTCCCTTCAGGCGGGTTACAGGCACCGGCTCATCTTTCTAGAGCTTGCAGTATACAAAGAGTCCCTGGAAAAACGGTTTTGGGCATTTTTTTTTCCCATTGAAGCCTGTCCTTGTTTGAAAGGAGCACTTAGGAAGGAACATTTAGGTTTTTTGTTGTTGTTGTTGTTTTTTAATGTCCTATTACTTTGTCTTTTCTCAAGCCTCATGCCTCTGACTTTTTTGTGAGTGATTCTGTCCATGGAAGCTTGGAATATTTTGGAGAGCCGATCAAAGGAAGTTTAATTTAATACGAGCAATTCATTGCCTTGGTGTTTTCTAATGAGAAAATTAAATCAGGGTGACTAGTTTATTGACTTATTTACATGGCGAAGGTCATTGCTGGCACAGAGGACAGAGCTCTGACTGCTTCTGGTCACTTGGACAACGTACCCGGAAGTGGAGTTAGGAGCCGGTTCTGGCCTGGGCAGCAGAGGTGTTTTAGAAGGGAAGTTGTTACACTGCTTAAGATTAGGTTTCAAAGGGATCCCAAGGAGGATCTCCTGGGTGCGGTTCTTCTTCTCACAGTTGGAATGCATTGCTTCAGCAGCTGTGGAACCAGCCTGCTCCTGTTCAGCATTCTGAGAGGAGCAGGTGGTTATTGTCAACGGAGAGCTAGGACGTGTTCTTACACAGTAAATATTCCAGCCCAGAGAGATATGTACGGAATAGAAAACAAGTGCAAACATAAAAAGAGATTTGCTTAGAGCAAAAAAATATCCTTTTCTGCTTTTTTTTTATTTTTATTTTTTGTCTTAGTGATTTTTTTCCTCTTTTGGTCACTGGCATAAAATACCTAAGAAAAACACCCGTAGGAAGGGAAGGCTTGCTTTGGCTCTCAGTTCCAGAGGTTTCAGTCCATGGCTGTTGGCTGGCTCATTTCAGTCTCTGATGAGACACAACATGGCAGCAGAGGCATGTGACAGAGGAGGCAGCTTACGTCACAAGCAAAGCGGAAAAACCAGAGACAGAGGCAGGAGTAACGACACACCCCACCCCAATGACGCCCTTCAGTGAGATGCCACCTTTTAGCTGTCCATTCACCCGAGAATCCACAAATGTGTGGATCCATGAACCAGGTCAGCAAACTCACCGTGCACAGACCATTTCTGGACAGTGGTGACCGAGAGAGTATGTGTAAATGTGGTAAACATGTGTGCAACGTTGGTGCAGCTCACAAGTCTGTGTGTCCATACGGTGGCCAGAGTTCAGCATCGAGTGCCTGCCTGTGACTCTCTACCTTGTGTTTTTGAGTCAGGGTTTCTCTTATTTAAGACCACAGATCCGTCCTTAAGCTCAGATCAGCTCTAGAACATTCTCTCACACGCATCATTCCATGGTGTCAAGACTTGACTTCTGAAACAAAATGTCTGAAAGGAAAAAAATGTGTAAAATTCCTTATAGTCTCAACATTTTTTTTGTGAATCCTTTTTGCATTACAATCTATTATAATTTCCTTTTTTTTTTTTTAATGAGGTAAGTCTGCTAACAAAATCAAACAAACAGAGAAACCAAGCAAACCAAAGGTTTGAAGGTCCCATGCTCAGAAGTTTGCATGGTAAGGTGCAGACAGTGGGGACCACCAGAAGACTTTAAGGAGTAATACAGTCAGATAGTGTGGCATTTAGTATCTGTGAGATAAGAAAGGATAGACCAGAGCACCAGAGCATGAGGACGGTACAGTAAGCAGGATCAGCCATGGCGTGGCTGTGGTGTGAGGGTGCGGAGCTTGGTCTGGGTGGAAGACGAGTTTTGAACCCCCGTTTTTTAGAAAGGGCATGTGGGCACCCATGCCCATCCGGCAGTCATCTGCGTGGGCCTACAGGGCAGTGGCACACAGCACAGGGAGGAAACTGAAGACGGGGTGGGGACCGAGACTGCCAGTGATGGCATGTAGAAGTGAGCAGCTCATCAAGGCGACAGCTGACGTTCTAAGGTACAGTCCCGCACAGCTGATGTTCTAAGGTACAGTCCCTCACAGCTGACGTTCTAAGGTACAGTCCCGCACAGCTGATGTTCTAAGGTACAGTCCCGCACAGCTGATGTTCTAAGGTACAGCCCCGCACAGCTGATGTTCTAAGGTACAGTCCCGCATAGCCTAATAGGCCGGGAGATCTGGAATGGTCGGGGGAAGTCACTCCTGTGAACATGCCATGGATGCTGAATAAATGTGACTGTATAGAAGGTTCTTCTAATTACCCAAGTGAAAACTATAGTGAATTGGATCACAGTGGTAGGAGAGGACATGGAGGCCAGCGGGTAATGGTGGCGATAGATTTGAAAGGTGCCATCAACGAGGTTTATCAATGAGATTGGATGTTAACACGTGAGTCCAGCCTGATCCAGTGCGCAAGGTGTTTTTGAAAAATACAATGGACATTTGTATGGATGGGAAAGATGCGTGGAGGAAGAGGGCAAGTTTGCGCGGGCCATTTACCAGTGGAGCAGTTAAGCAGGCACGTTTGGTGCCTTCAGAAGAGTGAGCTAGTTGGGAGAAGAGAGGAAGTGAGAGAGGGAGCGAACCTACCCGAGAGGTTCCAGTGCAGAGCTCAGGGGAATGAAATCAAAGCAGTTCAGGAGACAGAGGAGCAGTGTGGAGGGCAGAGACAGAAACCCAGTGAGGAGTCAGGGAGTGCGCATGCCCAATACCGATACTGTAACTCACCACCTGTTTGGCATGCATCTCCTACAGAGTCTCAGGAACCTTTTCTAACATCACCTTTATCATCAAATGAAGCTCTGCTGCAGGGCGCAGGGCACTGTGCCATCAGACACGACCCCTGAAGGAGGGCCCGCAGAAACATCCCAATTGGGTCACCGGAAACAGGTCTGTCACTGGCCCTGCCAATGTCCTCCTCGGAAGCCCAGCTGTCCTCCTGGGGTGAGCTTGGTGAGAGATGGCTGCGGATGCTGCAAAGTCTGTGCCAAGCAACGAGGAGACCTGTGTAATGAAGCTGACCTCTGCGACCCTCACAAAGGGCTGTACTGCGACTACTCGGCCGACAAGCCTAGGTACGAGACGGGAGTGTGTGCATGTAAGTGTCTTCTGGACCCATTGGGAAAAGCTGAATTGAGACTCGTTTTCCTGCCCCACGTAATTCAGAGTGTGAATTTAGTTTAGCTAAATACAGGAGAGATGCCGTTTCCGTGCACCGGTGGGCTGGTTCAATGGTACCGGAGAACGTTTGAAATTCAGAGACACACGTTTGAAAGCCTCATAGTTACCTCGCAGTTCTCAGGTAGCTGGGTTTGTTGTTGTTTGTTTTGTTTTATTTTTGCGACAGGAGCTCTCTACACAGCTCTAGCTGGCCTAGAACTCACAGAGATCCACCTGCCTCTGCTTTGAATGCTGAGATTAAATGCACGTGCCACCAAGTCTGGCTCAGGTAGCCGCTTTTCCTGATCGCATATAGGAAACCTCATGTAACTAGCTGACCTAAAAAATGACAGCTTTTGTTAATCCTGTCTGAAATTAATCTGAATTCAGCCTTTCATGAAAGGAGAAAATAATCGTCTTTGAAAAATGCATGGATGTTTCTCTTCAGAAGGAGCGGGTGGGGGAGGGAGCAAAGCATGGGGGGGGGAACCTTGGTCAGGATGTAAAAACAAACAGACAAAACTCTGGTTTGTAAACCAAGAGGGTGTGGACTGTGGCATTCACTTTCTGTGTTACCTTCCCTCTGGCCAGCTGAGACGTGTCTTCCCACGAGCGGCTTCACATACAACACGAAAATCTTTAGCGGCAGATGAGGGAGGCAGTTTAGAACCAGGACCTCAACTACTACCCAGAGCTAACACAGAGCACTGCTTGGGCTGTCATTGGCAATCTATGCCTGCTGCAGAGAGCAAACCACTGTGGAGACCACGTGGCCTGGGATGACTAAGCCATTCAGTCTTTCAGGGAACATTTGTTGACTTCTGACTAGAACACTGATGGGCTGTCAAGCTTGTTTTAAGGTCCGGGCATCTCCCCACAGTTCTAGCAATCCCGAGGACTAGAGCTTCTGTTAATGTGGGCTTTTGTCAGTTGACATTTAATGAATTTGTAATTTTAAAGTTCGTTTAAATGGAACACATCTCATACAAGCTAATAATAATACATTTTCGACGACCCCCGACAGCAAAGAACATTTTAGTGAGGAGAATGCGGTCTCACATTTTTGTGAACGTCCCAGATGTCTAGCTCAATAGAGGAGTAGACCCTCACATCTGCCTCTTTGCTTTTCTGGTTGACATCTGAGGGAAACTTGGCTTCACACAGACACACAATTAGAAGCAGGTGGACTGCAGTAACGTGCTCTTGAGACACACTCACGCATGCCTCTGATAGACTCACGTGTGACAGGTCAGACACACTCACGCGTGCTTCTGATAGACTCACGTGTGACAGGTCAGACACACTCACGCGTGCTTCTGATAGACTCACGTGTGACAGGTCAGACACACTCATGCGTGCTTCTGATAGACTCATGTGTGACAGGTTGCTCCTTAGAAATCAGTTGCATCGTGGGATCTGAGACTAAACCAACAAACTTTTTTTTTTTTTAATTTTTCAAGACAGGATTTCTCTGTGTGACAGCACTGTCTGTCCTGGAACTCACTCTGTAGACCAGGCTGGCCTTGAACTCACAGAGATCCACCTGCCTCTGCCTCACAAGTGTGTCACCACTGCTCAGACCAAAAAAACTTTTTTCCTTTATTTATTATGTATGAAACATTCTGCTTGCATGTATGTCTGCAGGCCAGAAGAGGCCATATCTCATTACAGGTGGTTGTGAGCCACCATGTGGTTGCTGGGAATTGAACTCAGGACCTCTGGAAGAGCAGCCAGTGCTCTTAACCTCTGAGCCATCTCTCCAGCCCCCAACAAACTTTTTATTCTAATAAAATACCTCAAACCCACTGGGCTGGCTCACACATAGTTCTAGCACTGAGGAGGCTGAGGCCAGGAGGATTGGAAGTTTGAGGCCAGTCTGGGCTACTTGTGAAGACCCCCCCCCCCCACTTAACGTTTTTTATTTTGATGTGTTTGGTTGTTCAGCTTTCATATGTGTCGGTACACCACATGTGCAGCTGGCCCCTCTCGGAGATCAGAAGAGGGTGTTGGGTCCCTCAAGTCTGGAGTTAGAGATGGTCATGAGTTGCTATGTAGGTGATGGGAATGGAGCCCAAGGGGAAGGAAACCTTATCTTAAAAACCCAAAGCAAGTACAGAATCCGCTTGGACTTGGTTTTTGACTCATGTGCGGTTTTGTCATCCTCTGCTCTGGGTATTTGGAAAGTATCAGTTTCCCGATTGTGTAAATAATAAATATATGCCCATTAAACAATCACTCTCAGCAGAAAGTTGACACAGTTGGTGGCTGGAAAGATCTCAGTGGTGGATAGCAGTTTTCCAAAATTTTTTTACTAGGAAGTGTGACTATGTCACTGGCAACAAACACTTTTTTTCTTAGCAGTGACAATTAGTGACAACTTCTGCCCAGTTTCAAGAAGACACCTCCACAAGATCCAAGTCTGAGCACCCACAGTTTATCCAACAACTATTTAAGGAAAGTCCCAACTGAAAACTTGACTCCTTTGTCTCCTAATACTATTATACTTGGCACACTGAATATTATGTATTTACTTTGTCATAAGAATATAATTAAATGGAAATGGGGAGGATTTAATAAAGTTAGCATATTTTACTGTGCTACCAAGAACACTGTTATGAGGGTCTGTTTGTTGGGGTTTCTGTCCTGTCTGGTTCCCGCAGCTGATTAGCCCCAAAGAAAATCACACAGAGTCTACATTAGGTTATAAACTGATTGGCTCATTAGCTCAGTCTTCTTATTAGTTTTTGTAGCTTATATTAACCCATTATTCTTATCTGTGTTAGCCACATGGCTCGGTACCTTTTTCAGCGGGGCAGGTCACATTCTGCTTCTCTGGTGATCTGGGCAGGAATGCGGGAAGAGCTTCCTTCTTCCCAGAATACTCCTGTTCTCATCGCCCAGCTTCTACTTCCTGTCTGGCTGACCTGCCTATACTTCCTACCTGGCCAATCAGCGTTTATTTAAAACATGATTGACAGAATACAGGCAATTATCCCACACCACACTGTGAAGCTAACTTTATTTTTCTAAGTACTAGTGCACAAAAAGTCAGAGCACAGCCACTTCCTGTATGGCCCCAGTCATGCCAACGCATCTGTCCCAGCCACTGCTGATTGTCCCAATGATGTCACACACACCCCAATGTCGTGAAGAGTTTCCACGGATTCTTTGAAAGCTATTCCTACGGGGCTGGTGGGGCACGTTTGGAAAGGGTTCTCCAGCCCCGCCTGTGGACACATTCTGGCCTGTATCTGTGCATCCAGGTGGAACTGTCTCACCAGGCATCCACCATTTATTTATAACCATCCACTGCCAAGCCTAGAACTTTGAATAGCTGCCTTTACTCCAACTTTTGGGGGGTTTTTCGGAAGTGACCATTTGGGGTTTTTAGCCTACACAAAAATACAAACACCCCATTTTAACCTTTCTATAGATGCTCTGTGAAGGAGATTCCAAAGAGGCTTAAGGAATTAAGAACCACATTCATAAGAGACAGCTACTACTGGAGTAGGTCTATCTAGCCAAGCCATATAGTTTGATTTATTTATTTATGTTGACAATCTGCTGCTGCTGCTGTTGTTGTCGTTGTTTTCCAGATCTTGTGGCTGTTGGATGCGAGTTCAACAGGGTCCATTATCAGAATGGCCAAGTATTTCAGCCCCACCCACTGTTCAGTTGCCTCTGTGTGGGTGGTGCAATTGGATGCACGCCCCTGTTCATACCCAAGCTGGCTGGCAGCAACTGTTCTGCCACTGAAGGTGTAAGGAAAGCTGGTACAACCAACTGTGGCCTGGGACCATCACAACAAGGGCGCTCTGCAGGCTACAGAGCAGTGCCAGGTGAGCCTCAAAACCGTAGCCCAGACACGGGATGCCTGTGGCTACAGAGCAGGACCAGGTGAGCCTCAAAACTATAGCCCAGGACCACAATCACGGGGCGCCCTGCAGGCTACAGAGCAGAGCCAGGTGAGCCCCAGAACTGTACAGACACAGGGCGGGCACTCTGCAGGCTATATTGCAGCACCAGGTGACCTCAGCAGGGATAACTTCCTGTGGTTCTTTCCTGATTCCAGCCAGTAAGAACTCACAGGCTGATGCTTAGAGATTTACAGTGTGTGTACCCGTGTAGTGTTTGCTTCAGGTAGGTATATTCCAAGTGTCTGAAAACTTTATATTTTGGTTTTGAGAATAAAAGGGTCTGATTTTTAAAACCTCCCAGATTATGGAATTTCTAAAGTCTTACTCTGTTTATCCCCAACGCCTTAGGAACACTAAACAAATACTGTTCACATGTACCCTAAAAACCTTTCATTTGTAATTATGGGCAAGAAGTTTGACCATCCAATTCCTGCATTTTCAAAGTTTTTCACATGGTACTAGCAGAAATGAAAAGTTAATTTAAAAAGTTTTTTTTTTGAGGACTCACACATTTTGAGGTTCAAAACATTATTTTCAAAACTGACAAGGGCTCTAGTCTTCTTCCCTTTAAAGCAGGCCACGGTAGTCAGGCTGCAAAGCAAGACTCCTGAGTGCTTACCTTGAACACGAGGTGGCTGCAGGCGCAAATGATGTCCTGCTCATACACTGGAGAATTTTCCAGACAGGAGTTCCTCTGGGGCCACCTTCATTATGTTGTTAGTAAAAATTATTCTGAGTTTTAGATATTTAAAGATGCAACAAACAAAAACTTTCTCCAGGATTCTGGTTGTGTGAGTTAGTTAGACAGACAATTTCCAGGTTGTTCACATGGTCACTCAGCTAACAGTATGGCATTACTCACGTTCCCACGAACTCCCAAATGGTGAGCTACAAAGAAGTGAGACAGTCTCCTCACTTTGTTTCAAAGGTATGCTAAGTCCGCCATGACTCGCCTTTGGTTACTCATGAAAACGTGTTTCTGTCTACACGGAAATTTGGCTTTCACAGTGAATGTCAGTGAGAGCTTATGCCTTAAACATGTACGTGTGATAACTCATGCGGTCTATTGCTGGAATCGTATGTGTGATGATAACTGATAACTATTGCTGGAATCTATTGTTTGCCGGGCCAGTACAAAGCAAGCAATGACATCATGACTCACGTTTCTCTCAGTGCTCATAAACTAAACTTTTGTTTTATTAATCTCATAATTTCTTTTCTTTTTAATGAATGTTGAACAAAGTCCTGAACGGCAGGCCTTGGTTTAACTGTAAGCAGGGTTATCGGTGATGCAGTAATCACAGATGCCTTTACCTGTTGCAGATGTGCCTGCAGTGAGGTCTTTAACTGTTGTCTGCCTCCGGGTACCTTTGTTTCCACTTCCGTTGCTCACCGTTACACCAAGGGCAGCATCAGGAAGCCACTTTCATCAGGCAGCACAGGCTTCAAGAGTGACTGATATTTTCTATTAAGGTGGTTTTTCTTTTTTAAAATCCCCTCCCCCCCAGCTTTAAGTTGATATTCTCAAAGTAGAACCGTGCTATATAACTAGGGGCTCAAATCACCACTTTCCTCCCGAAGTATCAATTGTAGGATGAGCATTAGAGACATGCCTGGAGGTTAACAGACCTGTGCTCTTTACTATGAACCAAGGGTCTGCGTCACGGGAGAACAGTAACAATGTCCTAATGGTTTTTCATGGAGAATTTATTATCTTTTATTCCCGTTTCTTCTACACAGCAGACAGTGGAGGGGTTTCATTTCTCCGCTCGTAATTCATCCACAGTTGCATTCCCTAAGTATTTCATAGGCGATTTTAAGTGGCTAGCTTGTAGAGCTTACTGTGGGCCTGGGGACAGGGAATGAGACGAGTCGGGTGAGATCGACATGTGCAATGCTTTACTATATGAAATCAATTTAGTGCAGTATTGTTATACATCCCCATGATGGACAGGTGAGACTTGCTGTGCACACCTGGTGACCTGAACTTGAGCCCTGCATAACGGGGAAAAGGACAGAATTGACGAGACAGAGCTGTCTCAGCCTCCACAGGCACACCGAGGCCTGTGAGCCTCACCTTGACTGCAATTTTCTAAGAGTAGATTTAAAGTGGAAGAGAACTGATTTTGTTGTCTCATTCTTAAATATTTTATTTTAGATCTTGAACTTACCATGAAATTTAAATACTAAGATCATACATAGTATTACACCAGCCATGGTGACCTAGGCATGGTGCCTGTATTCCTAAGGCTTGGAAGGCAGGACTGCGAGCGAGGTAGCAGGTAGTCTGAGCTGCCCAGCAAAACCAGGTCTCAAGGAAAGAAAACCCACACTATTTTGATCACTGTCCTGAATTTCCTAATCCTACCAATGTTCACTTCGGCATCTGTTGGGAATATCAGGCAAGAGCTAACAAAAGACGGGTACTGATCGGAAGCAGTCAATCCTTGAGGACAGATGGGCAGAATGGTGACAGATGAGTCTATTCCCTAGACACTACACGGCCACACTTGACCGAGAGAGGAAACGTAGGTACCAAGAAGGGAAGGATGACTTAGAACGTAAGTGTTTGTCCTTTCATGCAAAAAGCCTTAGAACTTTTAGATACCTACCGACTTTATGTTTAAAAATTAAGTCCAGGGTAAGTACATATGTGCAGACATATACAGTCTCCCATTTATGTTAGCTTACAGGAACCTCCCGCTTACTTGGAAAAAGAAGTGCCTTGTGCAAGCAACGAAGTGGACTCCCTGCTCCAGAACATGTGGAATGGGAATTTCTAACAGGGTAACCAATGAAAACAGCGACTGTGAAATGAGAAGAGAGAAGAGGCTATGCTATATCCAGCCCTGCAACAGTAATATAGCCAAGACAGTAAAGGTACAGTGTAACCAGACTTAAGTGAATTATGCTTGTGTTAAGTTCCTGAAAAGTAAGTCAGGTGTGTGTATTCTGGAGGGAGGGATAGTGTTCGAATCTCATCAAACAAAACCACCTCACTGTGACTGACTGTTAAGTCAAATTATCTCAGAAGACAACAGGTGTTGACCTAGCTCAACTCTACAGGGAAAATTGTATATAGTAGTGGGATTGTAGGTGTTCAGTTTAGTGAAGTGGGGCTTGTTGGGTAGTGGTGGCACGAGCCTTTAATACCAGCACTCAGGAAACAGAGTCAGGCGGATCTCTGAGTTGAAGCCAGCCTGGTCTACAGAGTGAATTCTGGGACGGATCGGGCCACACAGAATCCAAGAGATATCTACTCTGAAGGAACGGTATGCCTGGAAGGTTACAAGACACTGGGCTGCTCAAGACCCCTATTCTTTGTTTGGTTTTCTGAGGCAGGGTTTCTCTGTTTTCTTGTTCATCCTAATTATAGACGTGTACCCAAAGTATTAAACATAAAATTCCAGCTGTTATAGCACAGCACGAAAGCAGTTCTGCTTACAGTTACACATGACTGTTGCTTTGGAGGGCCACACCAAAATGCTCTGTGCATGTTAGAGTAGACTTGCCAAAGGCCATGCTGACCTACAACTGGCATAAAGTAGCAGAGCTGGTACTACTTCTTGATTGAAGCAGGAGAATTATCTTTTTATTTGTTTTTTTTGGAGACAGGGTCTCTCTATATTGTCCTGGAACTGACTATGTAGTCCAGGCTGGCCTCAAACTCAGAGATCTTAGCTGCCTCTGCCTCCAGAGTGCTGGGATTAAAGGGGTGCGACACCATGCCTGGTGCTGCAAGAGAATTGTCTTAATGGATTTTTAAAATTTATTTGTGTGTATGCACTGAAGCACACATAGAAAAGACTAATCTTTAGAAATGATATAAACTGTGTTATACACAAGGTAGTCCCTATTGTATTATCAAGTTGGTACCTCAGCTTTAAAGGGAAGAAGCTGTCCATTCATGGGGGCTGGAGAGACGGCTCAGCAGTTATCATGGACTGTTCTTTCAGAGGACCTGTATTGGATTTTTAGCACACACATGCAGGCTCACAACCATCTGTAACTCTAGTTCCAGGGGATCTGATACCTGCTGGCCTCTGTAGGCACCAGGTACACAAGTGGTGCACAGACATACATGCAGGTAAGACACCCATAAATAGAAACCAGAAATAAATAAGTCTTTAAAATTAACAAAAGATATCCATTCATTTATTCACCCACCCAAACTGAGTGATATGTATGAGGGAATTTGCTAAGCCTCAGGTAAGTGACATTTAATAATACACAACTCTTTAAATGTAACAAAACAAATAAGTTTTCATTTATTGTACAACTGAACAAAAGACAGAATGAGAAACACCAGGGCATCTGGAAGCATGAAGGGGCAAGGGTATTTCACAAAGAGGGTCCTAGATGGCACAAACAACTACTAGTAATGCCCAAGAAAAAACTCATCTAGTATCTGCTATAAAATCCTTGTTACTGTAGTCAAATTTAAAGAATGACCTCTTAACTTCATTCATCTTTTCAGATCCCCAGAGGAAAAACATGTCAACCCACTTTCCAACTCTCCAAAGCTGAAAAGTTCGTTTTTTCTGGATGCTCAAGTACTCAGAGTTACAGACCGACTTTTTGTGGCATATGCCTGGACAGGAGATGCTGCGTCCCCAACAAGTCTAAGATGATCACTGTTAGGTTCGACTGCCCCAGCGAAGGGTCCTTTCAGTGGCGGATGCTCTGGGTCACATCTTGTGTGTGCCAGAGAGACTGCAGAGAACCAGGAGATATGTTTTCTGAGCTCAGGATTCTATAGAGCCAAATATAGGGAGGAAAGTTTAAGGCTAAGTCATTCAGTAATACAATCAAAAGACTAAAGTAGCTATAAAAGGATGAAACATTTATCTAATGGATTTAAAGCAGAAAGAGCCACTAGTTATTCTTTGGTTGCTTTATTTCTGACATCAGAAGTTTCTAAAAAATATTCTAAAATGAAAAGGAATGCCTGAAAAAATTTAAATAACTCATTTCTAGAGGATATCTATAATTATGTAATAAATACATACATGTACCATATAAGGATTTAATATATAATAAAAGTACAATTTACAAGAAAAATTTTATATAAATATAAAAAGATATAATTTAAAATTTTATTCTGTACTTGGCAATGCAGTCTATCAGATCCTATAACATGATATTAAAGGGAAGATTCTTAAAAATAAGATACTATAAATGTATCTATAATATTCATTGTCGTGTTCTGAATATCAGCTAAGATGCTTATAGGAAGGAGAAAATGGAATGTCTAGGACTACTGCTAATAACTGTAATACTGCAGCTTTTATACCAAATACTAAAAAAAAAATCTAAACTATCAATATAAAAGCCAAAAATATAACAATTACTTAGCAAAGGGAAGAAACATAAACTATTAATAAACAAAGCATACAACAGATTAGTTTTTCTTGAAAAGAATTTCCCCCCGCCAAATTTTTTCCTTGAAGGATAAACCAAACAATGGATCTGAAATATAAATGCAACTAAAATCAATATTAAAGATTCAAAATATTATGGAGACTGGAATCATTTCAGTAAATAATGACTACTTACTACGAAATTCAGATGAAGATACCCAGCTCAGCGATGTTCTGCTCAGTGTGCAAACAGTGACTTAAGTAGCACTGTTGAACATCTGCTTTTAAACTACTTTAGAAGTGACTGTGTGTCTAAGTCGTGATTCTCTTGAGTATAGACATGTTACTACTCAAAGAACAGAACAAAGGCTTATCAGTTTTAATAAAGACTCCCTAAAAGTCCAAACATGACACACAGTTCTTTCATTCCTAGGACTGCTTTCCCAGCATTTAAACAGAGCATGAAAAGATAAAGATAAACACAGAAAAAATATGTACAGTCTTTCCTGAGGCGTTCACCAGAGTGAGGAGATCTGCAAAAGGAAGTGATGGGGAAAGAAAGGCGATGAAGAAGCACTCTTTCCCTCTCCATCGGCTCTCACTGCGCAGCCTAGGCTGGTCCTGAACACACTGGATTACATGGTGTACCACAAATTGCTACAAGTGATCCCACACACCAGTGTGTGTATATACATCACAAGGCCACGCTTAGCCGAGGCACATCCAGCACAGGCAGGCTCTTTGTGGCATCAAGTTCATTATACTCCTGAATGAGAGCTGACAGAGAGGACACAGCTTCTGCAAAAGCACACTCCTCCATCCCGTCAACTTGAAGATAGTGATGGAGGTGAGCCTGCAATTGAAAAGAGACAACATTACCATCTCAGGAACTTAAGACATACAACTGCCCCACAAAACAAATATTGTTAAAATTCTGTCATTCACCCATCCCTCCTTGGGAGCTCTAAGCAGTTGCTGAGGAAGGGGTGAGGCAGTTCTCAGTGGTAAACCCACTTGTAAAAGCCTTGCTTAAGTAAAAGCCTTCCACATTCGTTCAAGGAACCCTAATAAATTACAGTGGAGGAACACACATACAAATACTTGAAGGTAGGAGAGGGGTTGAGAAGCAGAAGGGGTTCCACTGGAAGGGAAGAGGAGAGAATCATAGGAAGTATGATCAAAGTAGATACTACATATGTAGGAAATAGTGAAAGAGTAAATGCATTTTAAACGCATAGAACATTCAGCTCTAATCTGGAAGCAGGAACTTAAGTCAAATATTTTGCCTAAAGCATGGTGATAATGGGGTTGGCCAACCCATTTGTGATTGGATTTGAGGCCCCCTCCATTGGAGCTGTAACCCAGGACAAAAGTCCAAGACTCAGGTCACATGATGTAAGGGACAATCTTTTGTCATTGGTTTGCTAAATGGACATGTTGAAAAACTGTCCATTTGTATTTATATTCACAGAATAGTGCTGCTCTCAATATTGGTCATAAAGGCTTTCATTTTTCCTTCCAGTGGATAGTGCAGAGACCAGTCAAAATGCAGAAAATAACTGAGTATTGAGTACTTAGCTATAAATGGACATCTACAGAATCCCTTCCTCCCACACCCCAGCCTCACCAAGGCTCAGGGCACACTGTAGAGGATAGTACAGAAAGACTATAAGCCAGAATATGGGAAAGAGCATTGTGAGCTTAGGTTCTAGACATGGCCACTGTGCTCCTGGACTCACGGTAGCTGTAGTTACCTACATAAGACCGAGCCTGCCAAGAGTGTGACATGGACTGGGGAGGGTCTCATGAGGCCCCACTGATGGAGGAAGGTCATTGGCTAATAAAGAAACTGCCTTGGTCCATTTCTATTAATGTGTGTAGCACCATGAGGTGCGCTTACCAGGAAGATTCTAGCCTACGTCCATCCTGGGTCGGAGCTTCATCACGTCTGCCCTGGGGAGCAGCGGCATGGCATCTTAGCTCACTTCCTCTTCCTCCCAGCATTCTGTTCTGTTTACTCCACCCTCCTAAAGGCTGGCCTATCAAATGGGCCAAGGCAGTTTCTTTATTAGCCCAGACTTCCAATCATCTCCGCCAAAGTGAGCGCAGTTACAAGGTATGAAATTACCTTTTTCTTGTAGAGCCTCATGAACCGTTCTCTCAGTTCCATGAAGGTGGGCTTCACACACGTGTTGTTTGCTAAAGCTAATAATGAATGGGAGTGACCCACAGGGGGCACTGAACACAGGCTAGTCTTCCAGCCTTCTTGATTCCAGGAGACAAAATGCAGAGCAGGTTTCAACCTGAAATACAAAAATCCTAAGGTAAGAACTAAGGTACAAAGAATGACATTACAGCAGCTCAGTCCACATAAGCAAACAAGACATCAGCATCAGCAGAATCATAGGTCTAACTGTGTCCTTTGGAATCTGCCATCTGTCTTCAAAACTGGCAGCATCTAGAACCTTCATTCAGTAACAGATGGAAGCAGATGCAGAGACTCACAGCTAAGCACTGGGCCAAACTCCTGGAGTCTAGCCATAGAGAGTGAGGAGCTATATTACGAGCAAAGGGCTCAAAGCCATGAAGGGGAAACCCACAGAAAGGGCTGACCTGAGCTAGTGGGAGCTCACTGATTCTGGAGTGACAGCTGGGGAACCCGCAGAGAACTGAACTAGGCCCTCTGAACGTGAGTGACAGTTGTGTGGCTTGGGCAGTTTATGGGGCTACTAGCAGTGGAACCAGTATTTATCCCTAGTGCATGAATTGGCTCTCTAGAGCCCATGCCCTATGGAGGAATACCTTGTTCAGTCTAGATACAGAGGGGAGGGGCTAGGTCCTGCCTTATGTGATGTGACAGACTTTCTTGACTCCCCACGGGAAGCCTCACCCTCTCTGAGGAATGTATGAGGGAGGAATGGGGTGGAGAAAAGGTGGGGGGAGGAGGACAGAAGGGAGAGGGAACTGTGACTGGTATGTAAAATAAGATTGCTTTAAAAATGAAACACACAAACACACAAAGCTGCAGTATGAAGAAGCACCTCATGTCTCCCTTAGTGCTGACAAAAACGAGGCTCTGTACTTAAGGAGCCACATTTTACTATAATTTCAACCTTGGCTTTCTTAACTATGCACTACACTGCCCCAACCTGTACATGTGAATTATCTTAAAAATAAAAACCAAACCTTTCCCAAACCTTTCAATATTTCTGCGAAGATCTGAAATCTGCACATTTCCTCTAACGATGAGGGCACAGGCGAGGTAGAGACTATGTCTGGGGTCTGCTTGGATGAGCTGGTGGTCTTTACTAAAGGCATCTGAAAACATCTGGTCCAATCTACAACAGGAAAGCACCACTGTTTACACAAAAGGTGTTTCTTCTAAACATAACCACAGAATGAAAACATACACTGGTATGGCAGCTCCTGGTTACCTATAGTAAAGCAGATGTCAGAAACAAAGAAAATAAACCCATTAACCCTAACAAGAGAAAAGGACACCATGACAAATTAGTATAACATTTTAAAAGGTCCTTGTGGATTTTTACTAAAACTTTAATAAACATCAATTACCACAAACTATTACAATTAAAATTAAAATGTTGATACAAGTATTATTTATATCAAAATATACCAAGCAGATTACGGAATAGTTCACTGACTTTGAAATATTTAAATTAGAGAATCAAGTCAAACACATTTCTTTTTCATTATGCTGAACTTAGAATTTAAAGATTAACTTTAAATATAAAAAATTCACTTAATACTAGTTTACTACTGCTGGGCGTGGTGGCACGTATCTTTAATAATCCCAGCACTCAGGAGGCAGAGGTCAGCGGACTTCTGAGTTTGAGGCTAGCCTGGTCTACAGAGAAAGAGTTTCCAGGACAATCAGAACCATAAAGAGAAATCCTGCCTCAAAAAAATGGGAGAAAAAAAGTTTACTACCAGTATTCATTTGGTGTCCACGTTAACCAGGCTATGCTGATGTGCAGTGAACCATCAGTGATCACAACCCATACACCACACACCACTTCCCCTGCTGAGATCATTATGGGATCCCTGGTAGACACTGGCTGGCGCCAATGGCCCTTTTGCTAACATAAAGTTTATTAGCATCACTTGTAATATTCCTGAAGTATAGAACTGTTACCAAAACTTTAATTGTAAAAAGAGATTTCTGAGGGCTAGCGAGACAGCTGCATGGTTAGGAGTGTGCATTGTTCTGCAGAGGGCCGAGTTCAAGTTCCAGTACTCACAGAGAGCAGCTTCCCTCCAGGGGATCTGTAGGCACCTGCACTCACGCTCACATACACTTAATTAAAAAAAAAAATCTTAAAACAACAACAAAACAACCCTTTGGGCCCACAAGATGGCTCAGCAGGTGCTTGCTGTCAAGC